GGGGCGCTGCCCTGCGACACCGGCTGTTGGGGAGCGCTGGGCGCTGCGTGCGTGCCCGGCACGCATCTCCCGAGAGCTCTGGTTTTCAGTAACGTTTGCTTGTAACAAGAATGCAAATGCTTTTTCTTTTTGGTCCAGCCAGTTTTCCTCCAACCAGGAAAAAAAAAACCCAACACAGCGTAAGTTGGACGTTTGTTGCAGAACTAATAGCAAAAATATTTCCTGGGTCATTGTCCAATTTCTCATCCTTATTACCCAGAACTGCTGCGAGCAATTTGAATTGCAAGTGGTGAGCTGGGGATTGCAGTGCTGCTTTGCCAGAGTGAATGTTACGTTTCCATGTGTTTTCCTTCATAAATTTCAGCTCTGCCTCCCTTTGTTAGGGAGCACGAGCAGCCCCCCCTGCACACACACGCCTGGGACCGGCTGTAGAGTCAGCACGGAGACTGGCATATGCTCCTCTCGCTTATTTATGCCGCTCCTGCTGCCGTAAATTTGAAGTTTTCCACGTATTGGAGAAAGACTTGTAGTTTCAGGGGGGTTGAAATGAATTGCTTGCGTTCAGTAGGAGATGTTCTGTGCAACCCAGGGTGAAAGAGCATCTATTTTCTCCCCGCTGTGTGATTAGTTAATGTTGCAGATGACTGTGTGCTCCAGAATGGGGGAATTTTCTCATGTCTATTTCTTTTGTCCTAGACATCTTCAGTTATCTAAAAGCAAGCCAGTCCCAGGATAAGGACGGCAGCAGGTGATATAATGCGGAAACCAGGCCCTCAAAAAGGTGAGCAGTGGTGCTTGGCACAGCCAAAGGTCTGGTAGTGAGCCGGTGCGGACCGAAGGACGGAACGCAGTGCATCGGGGGGCTGGCAGCGGGGCGGGAGCGTGGGGGACGTGCGGGTTGCACGCTCAAAACGGAGTCGTTCGTATCTCTGGCAGCATGCAGAGAAGGTTTCACCAATCCGCCCCCAAGACGGACAGAGGAAGAGTCCCTCACTGGTGCACCCCTGCAGCTCGTGGGGCACAGTGTCAGGCGGCGAGGGTGCTCTGCGGAGCCCGCGGCACACGCCATCTGCCAGTGCTCCCAGTGTGAGGCAAACTGCTTCTCCGCTGGCACAAGCCTCCCCCTTCTAATGAGGCGTGAAACCAAAGACCAGCCTACCTTGTGGAGATGAGATCTGTTAGGGACACTTACCCGAGTCGCTCGTCCCGTTACACGCCGCGGCAGCCGCGGTGCTCCGGGCGGCCACACGCGTGCTACCCGCATCCTGCTTGTCCCAGCTAAAAGGGGGAAGTCAGGCAGGCTGCCTGCAGCTGAGCTGCTCGGACTTCTTGTCCTGAACAAAAATATTGATTTCCTTTAGTGTTGTGCCATGCATGTGCGTTCGACTGGAGTGATCTCATCACACGCGCTTCGGAGGATGGGGGAAGGGGGACACGTAGAGGATGGAACATCCTCCGCAGTTCTTTGTTCACAGCTGCTGCACGCTCACCAGGTTTATTGCGGGAGGCTTCTATGCTCGATTTCTCTCCTCCCTTTATTTTTTTTAAACGTCTCCTTTGCTTCTCTGGTGGCTCATCTTACAGAAGCATTATCCTCTTCCTAACGCTGCTTGTCCTTTAATGAAGTGAAAATAAATGAAGGAAAGCAGGGAATGGGGAGAGCCTGCTGCGAGGCAGCTGGAGGGCTTGGTAATAAAAGAGGCAGGTTGATTAGTCAGCAGTGTGGCTGCGGACCGGGCTGGCTTTAAACGTCTCCTTTGCTTCTCTGGTGGCTCATCTTACAGAAGCATTATCCTCTTCCTAACGCTGCTTGTCCTTTAATGAAGTGAAAATAAATGAAGGAAAGCAGGGAATGGGGAGAGCCTGCTGCGAGGCAGCTGGAGGGCTTGGTAATAAAAGAGGCAGGTTGATTAGTCAGCAGTGTGGCTGCGGACCGGGCTGGCTAAATTTAGCCTCTTGCACAGCTTGTCCTCCTGCCTGGTGTTGCAGGGCATCTCCAGCCAGCGTGGCTGCGTGACCTGTGCTGTGAACGCCGTGCCATAGGTTGCAGGAGCAACACCTGCATCGCGCACATGTGGATTTCTGTCCTACTTACCTGCTTTTTTAATAATGCATTGAACTTCTCCTTTTTCTTTATTTGCCTGCAGATATTCTTGTGTGTCTTTCCCTCTCTGCTGCTTTTGCAGCCTGCTTAATGAGGATTTTTGCATGTTAAAGGTTAACAACAAAATGTAACTTCACCTGCGGAGCGTGGCGAGAGGCTACCTCGAGCGCACGGATGCTGTTAGAGAGCTGTCCTGCAGCACTGAGAGGAGCGTTACCCATCTTGGGAGCTTTTTTGCTTCTGACTTAAATACTGTGTGTCCTTTATTGTTGCTTTCTTAAGGAGATGGCAGAATACTGTCCTTCATGGGAATATATTTAGAGGAACGGTGCCTTTCCAGCTTTTTCGATTCATTTGTGTCCCTCCAAGGAGGTTCTTTGTCTCGTCTATGTCTAGTGATGCTGTGGCTACACTCCCTATATCTCTTGTGTTCATTTAAGGGATAAAAACTACGTGCAGTCCTCCTGTCCGTTGTGTGTGAGGGACATGTCAGGAAGAGAAGATTGCAAAAATAATGGTCTAAAAGCAATTTCAGACATCTTAGGACCCACCAGGCCACTCTGACAGCAGTTCATGCCCTGCCTCTTTCACCTACTTGTCAAGAGATTTCAAAACTCTTCCTGTTGTTTTTTTTCATTCCTTTCACAAGGACAAGGCATGTTTCGTAGAGCACTACCAAATTATTGTTGGTAATAGCCCTAAAAATGCTTTGTAAAATAAATAAGCTGGACTGCAGCAGCACTCCCAGGGGTGCCTCGGTCCGGCAGCAGTGGGTGGCATGCTGCTCTGGCATCCCTCTGTTGGGCTGGAGATGACTAAGGCAGGGATGGGCATCCCCCGCTTCTTGCTCTATCACTTTCCAGAGCTGTCATGGAAACTTTATTTTTTTTGCAATTCTGAGGCCCAAAGCTGCCGTGAGCAAAGACGACTCAGATGAGATGCTCTTCAGAGCTGGTAACTTGCTGCAGTGCGTGGAAAGGGCAGTTGTGCAGACTTTGGGAGAAGTCCTCTCCCCATCACCAGAGGGAGTTACCTGGAGTTGATAAATAAGGAGCAATTCAGGCTCCACTTTTCAGATCCACATGTGCCGTTCTTAGTGGCTTTCGTGTTTGTTCTCTCAAGCCTTGCCACCTCTTCACATAGGTAAAAGGATGGAGCTCTAGCAGGTTGCTGCTTTTTACATTATTGCTTGCTGTTGTGGGAGAAGACTAGTTGGTGAGGACTAGGCAGAGACTCAGATGCAAATCCAAATGCAGGTACCTTTGTCACGTCTTCTCTTGGGCTGTGTGGATGAAGGGAGCAACGCCCCGTAGATTTAGACAAACCATCCGTGTTACCTGGGGTCGTGGCAGGGAGGTCACTCCTCCCTGAGGTGCCTGTAAAGGAGGTGACATGAGCAGATGATGTTAAACAGTGTTAGCTGGCTTCATTCACTGACACAAGTGCTTTATTTCTTGTCTCAGCCATAGACTGGAAAGATGGTAAAAAGCACAAGTATGGCCGTCCGTCAGAGTCTCCATCCCAGTACCAAGGTAAGAGCTCCCTTCTCCCTTCTCCCTTGATTTCCTTTTCTTTTTCCCTAAAAGCTTTTTGAATTGCTTGGATGTGGGAAACTGCAGCATGCCAAATTAGTTTACAGATAAAAACTGCTTTTGGACAGTCCTTGTGTGGTTAATTCTGACGGCAGTCAAAAATGTCTGAGAAGACACCAGGGTAAGCACACAGCTGAGCCAGCTCCTTTTTAAGTCAGACAGGATCGAGCAAATCTGTTTCTTACAGCCCAACCACAAGTGCCAAGGGGTAACTCTGCCCACGTTTTCACATGTGTCCTGGGTTTAAGGACCCTCTTACTCCTCCATGAGCTCTTCCACATTCACAGCAGTGGCTAGCCCAGGCCTTGTTGCTATGGAGGGGACATGGTGTCCCAATATTAAGGTGATGTCCATACTTCCCACCAAGTACAGAGCAACAGAAACTAAGCCCTTTCCAACAGGAAACACGTTTGCCTTTGTGGAAGGCTCACCTGTGTTTCTTAGAGCCCCCGGGAGAGCTGAAGTGGCTGCTGTGCTTCAGGGGCTTAGTTATCCTGGGCCCTGAGGTGAGACTCGGGGTGGTGGTTCTCAGGCACATTGGGCTGTCAGCCACCATCAGCCCTCACCATTCTCTCTTGGGTTGGGGCATCTCGTCTGTCCTTGTCTATCCTTATACAGAAGTACGGTGGATCACAGTTTGGGAAGGACCTTCTCCAAGGGGAGGGAGTTTATTGCCACCTCTGATAAAGTCCTGGGTCCTCTGTCACCCCACGCTGAGCTCTGCATGACACGGGGCACCATCACAGCTCCCATGGCTTGTGTATGGTCTGCCTTCGGGGTGTTGGGGGCTCCACCATTTCCCCTCTGCTCCACACTCTGCACCGTTTGCAGATGTCAGAGGACTGGCTGTAGTTCAGTGGCAGCACCGACCTGACATGAAGCATTCTGTGAAATTCAGAGGCGTGTTTTTCCACCGGTGCTCATGGTAACCCAGCACACCAACCTCTGCACCTCACTGCATCCCGGGGCTTGCTGATGCAGGGAGGAAACGCTGCAGATGTGCTGATGTGCACGTGTCTGCTCGGCAAGCACATGGTGTAGCAGCGGGGATCAGGGATCATCTCCCCGCAAGAAACTCTGAGCAGCTCGTCACTGCCCGAAGCTTGGGTGCACAGGGAGGGAGGTGAAACTGCAGCAGCTTTCTGATGTGCAGCACCCCATAGTCCAGGCTGGGAAAATTTCTCCTCAAAGCTAATACTGAATTGAGATACCTCTGAGAAGAAGCAAAGCAGACAGTGTTGCGATGTTTGAAACGTATTAGTTTTGGCTCGCACGTTCTCGCATTTCTTCCGACCAAGACCATGAGTAAGCGGGATCGTGTTGTCGCTGTAGCTGTTACCAGTGCAGAATGTGCAGCCGGATTGATGGCTGAGCAAAGTCCCTGGAAACTGTAATGGGTAGGATGTGCAGGAGCTCTTCCATCACGGTGGGAGAGCTGACCCCTTGGGAAGCTGCGCCCAGACGTCGGGGGAAGGCCACCATCGCCTTTGGATCTGCGAGCAGAGACGATGCTCTGCTAATTTTCATACTGAGTTGGCTCAAACTGTGCTGCTTTCATGTGCTGCCTTGATGCTCGTTAGCAGACACACATATGGGCTGCAGACTTTAATGGGATGCCTTGATCTGGGTAGAGCACGTTCTCCTTCACAGATGTGACCTGAAACGCACATGTATCGTTTCAGTTGGATTGATGACCCCTCGGGAGCTGAAATGCTAATGGAGCCCAAACCAGACTTCGGTTAAAGACATAAACAGAAACTCTGTCTTCATTTAAATTCTGGGCAAAAGATCAACATTAAATGCAACATGATGAGAATCCAAACACAAGCGTGCAGAGTTGCATTGTTCACAACTACTGTAGTTTGACCCCTTGGGTGTGTGGAGTGTTTTGTTTGTAGTAAATATTTTTGAAGGTTAAGACATCAGAGCCTGAATCTGACACTCTGCCTGCAAGTAATATCTCCCTTTGGCACAAGCACACAGTAAGGAGCTTTCCAAAGGCAAGTGAAAGTGATAGACAGTCACCCTTAGTAGGCATTTTCACAGCCGAGTTACAGGGACTCGTATAGGTTTACAGTCCTTGGCTTTTGTTTAGCTCACAGATGTAATTACAAAATCGTGGTGTTTCTCGTTAAATGTCCTCTTGTTTCTTCCTGTAAAGAAGATCTGATTTATGCTACATGAAGGGACGTGGTCCCTGCAAACGGTGATCCCTCCAGTCTGCGGGAGGATGGTGTGCTCTGCAAGGGGCCGGGGGGGTGAAGGAGAAAGCAGAGCCCAAGCGAAATAGAGGGTGATTTTAGGGCTGGTAGAACATTTTGCATGTTGCACTAGATGCTGGGGGCAGCAGTGGAGTGAGTGTTTCCATTTGCTTTTCAGGGTGAGAGAGGATTTCGGTCCTACAGTCAGCTCTGTCCTTGGACACTCCTGCTCCGTCACCAGTGAAAGGGACACTTTAGGATCAGCTGAAGTGCTGGTTTTTCATGAAGCAAAGTGATTCACTGGGAATCAGAGAAAAGCTACCAGAGTTTTTTGACCAACACTCAGAAAACATTCCCCAGTGTTACCTGCCCAGGCCAGATAAGAAACAAGCATCTCTAGACTAAAACATCCTCTCCCTCTACAGCAAGGCATCCAATTTATTAATATGAGTAAGAATATTGAGAGAATAGAAAATACAGGATAGTTGGTCTGTGCTAATGAGAAAACCTAGCAAGGTATTGCCAATGTTTCCCTCTGGCTGTATAACGTTCGTACACAGTGAGCCTGGAAAAGGGCATCAGGCGGCACCCGGCAGCTTTGGCGTCCTGGCCGACGGCACGCTGGGTGCTGGAGGCTCCGGAGCAGATGGGTTTGGAGCTGAGCATTGGAAGTGAGTTGGGGATCAGTATGGCAAAGGGGGGTTTGGGCACGGTCCGGAGGAGCTGAGGTCAAGAGGTCCAAGTGTGATGTATCTGTCTTCAACTCTTCCTCAAGGACCGAGGTTGGGGCTTGTCCTCCGCACCCTGGTTAAAAAAGCCTCAAGTGCCTCCTGCTTCTTTCTGGTTTATTGGCAGCTCTCGCTTTGTTGTGAAAAAAAAAAAACAAAACACAACCAAAACCAACTTTTGTGTTCTGTCCATTTTCGTCTGATTCTTCCTGCAATTTTTTGATTGAAGCTGATCGTATTTGGTTAAGTTTTAAGCGTACTTGAAATTCCTCTTTGGAAAACATTGTTCTGTGAGCTAAATACTACTACTGAATTCATCGAAAACCATTCCCACGTTCTGTGCAGGGCTTCCTCTTGTGCTAAGGCAATGATTTCAGCACGCAGTTTCTGTCCTGGTTTGAGTGTAATCCTGAAAAAGAAGTGCAGCCGTTAATGTTCTGCCATTTCATGGGAGGAAGTGGCCGATAGTGGCCAGAGGAGGAAGGCAGGCTCAGCTCTGCGGCGTCGGCTCTGTCTTTTCTTAGAGTGTAGAGAATCGTTCTGCTGCTCCTGCTTTTCTTTGCAAAATGAGTCGTAAGTAGCTGCAGTTCTAGCATCGTGTGTGTGACTTCATATGGTGGTTGGGTCCCAACAGGCTCTAGAATTCATCTCAAATAAGTTCCATGTCCAAACACTGTTTTTAGAGGCACGCAGCTGTCTCAGAAATTTGTTGCTCCTGCTGGGGTTGTGCAGCATCGATCTTGGCTGCAGTGTGAGCTGCTGCAGGGAGCAGAACGGCCTCACTGGGTTCGGAGGGAGTGAAAAGTGGAAGGATTAAAACCATGACTACTTTTAATAGCGAGGGATCGAAACCAGCTGAGGGGAGGGGAGCTTTCTTTTAAAAATAAAATCGTCAAGCACAGCTGATCCTTTTCAAGAAGACGCTTGCTCAGGCCCTGGGGCTGAGGCTTGCACTCCTCACCCCGGTGCTGTCACCACGGGCATCCTCTGAGCTCCATGGACAAGGGCCTCTGAAGGGCCACCCCAGCCTGAGATGAGGCCAGATCAGCAACCAGAGTTATGAGGTGCAATGCAGCAAGGCATTTCCATGCCAGGAGTTGCCAGGGTTTGCTTTGGCTGAGTGTTTATTACCCATTATTCGTACAAAGAGTTTCATTGGAGTAACAGAGTGTAAAAGAATCATGCAAAAGAATTTTGTTCTTAAAGCAAAAGAGTTTTGTTCTTGTGAGAGCATCATTGCAGTGAGTCACTGAATTTCTTCCTTCACACCGGTGTGATAATCTTGGCTGAAGAGAAAACGCGTGGTGATGGATGGAAAGGTGTATTTGGAGGAATGGAGAGCTGCTGTCAGAGTCTGTAAACAGACGTGTATTCAGCCAGTGTGGCCAGGAAACTATTTTTTCTGTACGTTTCCACTGTACTTAACAGTGTGCTAGTCATCTGCATGGGAGGTGGCAAGAAAGCAGAGTTTCTTTATTTATTTGAAGCTAGAAGATTATCAAGCCCTTAAGGCTTCTCTGTGCCCATGACGCAGAACTGAAGTAACGTGTGCTGACCTTGATGCCTGAATTTTTGGAGGTGCTGCACTGCAGCAGCTAAAATGGCTTTTAATGTAGCTTTTGTTTTGAAAATAGACTGATTAAAAACTTGACGTGAACAGGGGAAGCGGTAGCTGGGTCTTTAATGGTGCTGCCACCAGTGCTCTGGAAATGCAGCCTCCCGGGAGCCGTTCAGATGAATACAAGCTAATGTCATGCTGGAAGGATCCTTTCCCAGCTGCTCAGTTTAAATGGCAGAAGTCATGATTTGCTCGGATCACGAGAGCTTTTAATTCCTCATTTAATAACAGGTTTCCCTTGATGGCATTCTGCTTTTACCCTTCCTGCTGTACATGGGAAAGGTGCTGGCGAAGATAAAATGCGCATCCCTCAGCAGCAGCACTCAGTGGAAGGGGCTTTGGTGTTGGATGTGAGCCACTCTGCTTCCATCCTGCCCAAGCTACGGACTCTGTCTGCTCCAGGAAATTAATTGGTGACCTGTCTGCTGATTGCTGGGGACGGGCTGATACCTGCTCTGAGCTGCTGGCTCGTGGGGCAGGCTGTGTGTGTGCTGCACTGGGGCAACGGGGAAGTCACCCCAGTGCAAAGTTTCCTGCTGCTTTGGGCTGCTCTTAGCCCTCAGTGACTGTTCTTAATCCCCAGACTGTGTTTAACGAGTGATTTCCAAGGGGCAGTTGTCTGGAAGACGCCTCAGATTCCCATCCATGCTGTGTATTTTATATGAAGTTGGAGGTTGTTATCCTCACTTTTTGCAGAACCTCCTCGGCAGCGCAGAGGCAGTAAGATGCCGTAGGCAGCACCATGCTTTGTTCTGCCTGTCAGCTGCAGTTGTAAATCTTCTGTGGTTGAAAACATCAGAGAATCTTGATGAAAACATGTTGCCTGTGAGCACCTCCTCTGTGAGAAGTGGAGAACTGCCAGTGTTAGGAGTCCAGCCATCTCTTTTTCTGAGATTTTTGCTTGTCAGTTCCTATTTGAATCCTTTTCTTTTCTCTTCTCAGGTCACTTCACCTGGGAGAAATACTTGAAAGAGACATGTGCCATCCCAGCTCCTGCCCATTGCTTCAAGCAGGTAAGAGGGTGAATGAAAAGAAGAAAGGCCAAGGGCGATGGTACCTTGGTGACCCAGCAGTTCTGTGCCTCGAGTAGGCCCCTTTTTTGGCAAGGAAGATGCTTAAGGATATCAGAGACTTAATAGAAATCTAAGTTTCACAGAATCATAGAATCATAGAATGGCATAGGCTGGAAGGGACCTTAGAGATCATCTAATCCAACCTCCCTGTCATGGGCAGGGACGCCTCTCAACTAGACCAGGCTACTCAAGGCTCCATCCAACCTGGCCTTGAACACCTCCAGGTGTTCAAGGTGTGGGGCATCCACAACCTCTCTGGGCAATCTATTCCAAAGTCTCACCACCCTCATACTGAAAGCTTGCTGAAGCAAAGATTAAAAAGATATGTTCAGGCACTGCGAATGGTAGAGTAGTGCAGAAGACTTAACACTCAGATGTGCATGGATGGGAACACGAGAATGTTTTTTCTCTCTGCTGAGTCTTGGAGAAAATGTTCTGAGTAGGGTATGATCCAGGTTTTGGTGAATCCTGCCCATCAAGATTTTCATTAGAGTTCACCAGATCTTTGTGAATTGAGTAGCACCCCACCAGCATCCCTACTTGAGCACAGGGATGATAGTGTTGAGTGCAGAGGAGTGAATTGGCATGGCACCCCTGGGTCTGGACAGAGGGGCAGCAGCGCAGAGGAGTATCTGTCTGGGTTGGGTGGCTGATTCTTCTGAGAAGAGGGCTAAGAGAAGACAGTAGGTCTAGTTGTCTAGATGATGCAGTACCGAAAGATAGTGGTCTGGGTCACAGATCTGCCAGAGCTCGCTGAACTTTCTTTGCTGCTCTGTGGTGTCTCCTACCCTGCTGTGCTTGGAGGACGCTGTCAGTCTTCAGTAGAATCAGTTTTGATGCTGTTAGGGCTTAAGCCTTATGACTGAGGTGGTGCATATATTGGAAATCCTGTCTGGAATCACGTCCCTGCTCTTTTCTTTGCAGTCATACACTCCACCTGCAAACGAATTCAAGATCAGTATGAAACTAGAAGCCCAGGACCCCAGGAACACCACCTCCACTTGCATTGCCACAGTGGTGGGTCTGACAGGCGCACGCCTCCGCCTGCGCCTCGATGGCAGCGATAACAAGAATGATTTCTGGCGGCTGGTGGACTCTGCTGAAATCCAGCCCATAGGAAACTGTGAGAAGAATGGAGGGATGCTGCAGCCTCCACTGGGTGAGCTGAAGTTCAACTGTCCAGCAAGTGCCTACGTTATCTGTGGGGAAAACCCGAGGGTTTTTTATATTTCTGTGCTTGAGACAGAGACCCAGGGACTGCCTCTGCCTACCACTGTGGTGTAGAGCAGCCCTGTTAGCTTGAGCTGTTAAACAGATCACAGAATCATAGAATGGTTTGGGTTGGAAGGGACCTTCAAGATCATCCAGTTCCAACCCCCCCTGCCATGGGCAGGGACACGTTCCACTACACCAGGTTGCTCAAAGCCTCATCTAGCCTGGCCTTGAACACCTCCAGGGATGAGGTGTTCACAACTCCTCTGGGCAACCTGTTCCAGATGTATCCCACACCAGGTCTGTATTTCCATGTGGACATCATGGCATGAATAGGAAGATGCTTTAGAGTGTAGATGAAAGAGCTTTTTGCACCTAGGTGAACTTCTTGCAATCTTTGCAGCTCAAGCTCAGGATTAGCATGTGCTGACCATGCTCTCATGCCTTCTGAAATTTTGCCTGCATACCTCAAAGGGAAAAACACATTTTCCACCCATTTGTGTGAAAGAATGCCAGAGCCACTCCATTTCCCAGAGGACACACAAGTAAACAATAGGGCACCCCAAGACCTGGTGACCCAGGAGTGTGGGCAGTAGCATTGAAGGCAGAGCAACTGTGATGGCCTTTCCTGGGTGATTGCCTGTACAAGGAGAGAACAAATCCAGGTTCTTTTTTTCTGAGAGACCACACAGTCGCGCAGGCAGTGCTGGCACACGGCTGTAGCAGTGGCTTGATCTCTGGCCATTGCTCATTGCTTTAGGCTTCTGATCCTGCTTGCGAGCGCTGTCATCTCAGAGGTGTGCTTGACATGAAACAGCTGCCATCCGTCAGTGCTTTCCCCTGCGCTCTCCCTCCAGTGCAATACTGGTATCTGGGTGGGGGGGCTTTGCTGGGGATCTGTAAATCTTGATGTAGAGAATAAGCAAGAGAGCAGTTAGGGCTGAGGCGTCTGCTGTATCACTGCTAATCCTGACACTGTGATTTCAAAAGCATTTAAATCTTCATTCGTGCTGTCTAAGTGTATTTGTACCCAAGTGTCTTTGGGGCAATAGCAGGTTAGCTGGAGACCATCTGATGGGGAATCATAATGTCTGAAAAGGTTCCCAGTGATTTAAGCCCTGTCTCACATGAAGGGATGCTTGTGATATTTCATCTGTTGGTTTATTTAATTTTGCTTGGCTACAGCTACAGCTTTATGAGTAACCTGGGCAGTCGAACACTTCTTGCTGTCTTGGTGGTTTGTTTTTTTTTCTCACACCGGCCAAATGATGAGCTGATTTGCTGGTTCATTCCTGATTAAGCAGTGAATGATCAAGATTAACCTGCTTTTGCATTCTGCTGCCCATTATTTTTGAAGTGTCTTCATAAATCTCTCTCTCAATTAGCACATCCCAAATAATGCCATGCCGATGTATAGTGATGCAAGAAACCATCAGTAGGACACCTTGAGTTAGGAATGTTTATACATTTTTTTTTCCTGGAGCACGATTCGTGAGCTTTGGTGGAAGTACAGTCTGAATTGCAATGGGACACTTGGGGCTGACCTTTCTGAAGAAGGAAGAAACATCAGCAGGTGCATGTTTTGAACATCAAACCACACAAAGCTGTGCGCATGCAAGTCTAATTACACCCTTTCCCTTCACAATTGCTACAGACAAAACCCGCTGCAGCTATTAACATTAATGCTGCCATTTTTTATGTTACTTTCATGCCTGCTGCTGCCCATTTGCAGACATCTCTTTGAAACCCTGGTCCCAGGGTGCAGCTCACAGCTCGGGTGCAGCCTGCCCAGGAGGTGTGGGTACCTATCCTGGCTGGCAGAGATGGGTTCCTCCTGTGCCTTGTCTGGGTTTTGCCAGCAGATGGCAATAAGTGGCATCGAGTTGGAGAGGAAAACTCCTTTCTGACTGCCAGAGAAGAGGGTTGGTGGTCTGGAAGAATCTGTGTGCCCAGCTCTGATCTGTATTGCCTGGTTAACACTGGGTCAGACGAGCGGTTCTCTTGCACCCAGCACAAAGATAGGTAACAAAAAGCTAGTTCTGCAGTTGTCCTTTCTACCTGCAGAGTGCAAGGGCCTGGAAAATGTGGCAATGATTTTCTGTGCTTCTTGTAGCATTTTCCATTTGTACACATCTGCTGCTGCTCCACTTCTCTACATAGCTAATTTGCAGAAAAGGTTGTCTTTGCCCCCGCGGGAGCGTAGCTCTCCCGTCCCCTGAGGGCTGTGGCTAGCTTCTTCAGTTTCCAGGCTGCCTGGACAAAGTTGCAGGGCTGGCAGGGTGGCCTGTACTGAGCTGGATGAGTTCTGGCATTTTAGCCCTGGCGAAACTTTGCTGTGTTAATCCTCACGGGATGCTCTCCGTAGACGGAGAGCGGTCCAGTCCCAGGGTTACCTTCAAAACACCGCAGATACAGAAGGTGCAGTGCTGTGTTCAGCCGAGCAGCACAAAGTGCCTGTACAGGAAGATGCACATTTAGCAAAGATGGTATTTTGTCATATCTGGAGACTTTTGTCGGTTGTGGAGTCGTACTTAGTGCCGTAGTCTCAGAGCATGTGAGTTTGCTTTTTTCTTCCCATAAACCCCTTCCTATTATTTCTCTACTTTTTTTCACAGAACATGTTGAGCCAAAAACTGCCATCCTTTCCTGTAATGGTTAAATCTGTTTCCCAGCCAAGTCACAGCCTTTCTATTTCTTCAAATTAGCTTGCCTGCGGCTCACTCTGAAAGGTGGAGGAGGCCACCCAGAAGCTGAGATTCCCTGTTGAGGAAGAAATTTCATAGCCTGAGCCTGCACTTGCTGATTCATGTCTCCCCTGTAGCAGGATCACTGAAGCTGCCAGCACTAGGGCTGCACAAAGTGCTCTGCCTGGATGGTCAATGTACAGACTTTTGTTATGATAAGCGAATATTGCAGTCAAACATCCATTTCCTGATGTTTCTTTTCAACAACACAATGTTTTGTGTTCAGAGTATCTGGAAAAGGTCAAACTTGACTCTCCAGCGTGAGGAGGAGGGTGGTGTGAGATCACAATGTGTGCCCGCTGCAAAATTCCCATCAGAGCAGACATTAAAGTCTCCATCTCTGCTTCCTTCTCTGCAGGCTTTCGGCTGAATGCCTCCTCTTGGCCCATGTTCCTTCTAAAGACTCTGAATGGAGCAGAGATGGCTCCTGTCCGGATTTTTCACAAGGTATTTTACTGTACTGTTTGTGAAGACATCCTTCTGTCGTGTCCCCCTTTACCGCAGAGCACCAAAATCACAGCTGGCATGTCGTGTGAGATCTGCTGATCCCAGAGGTGGTGAACATTGCACAGCTTTGCCATGGTGCTGGTTTTCTAGGACAGATCCATCCCTCTGCTGCTGTGTCGTAGCAGTGTCGAGATGCAGACAGGAGTCTGCTAAGAAAGTGGCTTGGGCTTCAGTGCCTGGGCTTGAGAGTTTTTCATTTGGGCTGCAGGTGCTACTCAAAGTCAGGAATGCAATTTGTGAAAGTCAGCACCTCTCTGAAACTTTTTTTATGTACCAGTGCTTGCAAGAAGTGCACATACTGCTGCGGCAACACTGCAAGCATGATTTCATAGTTTGTATTCTCACACCCCCAGTGAAGTCAGAGAGAGGCAGAAGCCAGTCCAGAGGAGCATGGGATGGTTGGTGTGGCTTTAGTGTATCTCAAGTATAAAAGACTAGGAAGAGCAAGCCCCAGATAAGGATGGGTGGGGGATCTCTCACATGTCTAGCAAAGCTAAAGGTGGGGGAAGAATGATGGAAAGAGACTGTCATAGCTCTGGTTTTCCTGCTCTGAGATAACAAGGTGAGAGGACCCTACAAAGGCTCTTTTCTTTGGAGCTTTATTTTCTGCCCATGTTGCATGACACATGTCACAGGGTGCAGAGTTCATGTAGCACTGTCTGGATTTGGTCCAGCAGCCGGGTGATGGCAGAGCAGTCAGTAGTGGGCTTCATTGCTTCTTGACTTAAAGGGCACATGGTTGCGTACCTAATTGGGGTTCAGATCCAGCCTAGTAGCTCCCTTCTTCGTCTGCTTGTGGAGGTGAGTTTGCTGATGGAGAGGACAGCCCTAGTCTGGGGAGGCACTGACATTTCCTCTTTGAGCACATTTTCAACTTCTCCTTGTAGGAACCACCATCTCCATCCCAAAACTTCTTCAAGACAGGTATGAAGCTGGAGGCAGTGGACAGGAAGAACCCTCACTTCATCTGCCCGGCCACCATTGGGGAGGTGAGAGGTTCTGAGGTCCTCATAACATTTGATGGCTGGAGAGGTGCCTTCGATTACTGGTGCCGATATGATTCCCGGGACATCTTTCCCGTAGGCTGGTGCTCGCTGACTGGAGATAATCTGCAGCCCCCTGGAACAAAAGGTAAGGCCCACGTTGTTGCTTATCTGTCTTCGTCCTCCACTCAGCTCTCAAGAGAGCTGCAAAAGAGCAGCAAAACAGGCAGAGGCCAGCAGGAAGGACATCTGGGTGCCCTGTCTGGCTTTCCTACTGCTGCTTCATGCATGGTAAAGGTACAGGTGATCATACACCTATTAGCAGTGTAACAGCCTGGCGCCAAGGTGCTAAGGAACAGCCATCTGTAAAGATGGACAGGCTGATGGCTCTCTGGAGGGATGGTGGTGCTGTACAACCTGTCTGAGGTCTGTTCCTCTTCAGGAATTCTCTTGGAGTCTCTCCTGCGTCTCTGGAACACACATTCCTAGGGACTTTTTCGCAGGGGGACTGGGCTATTTGTGGATATAAGAAGGGAATAATGAGAACTATGAGGTTGCAGGACCGCCCCTGTTTGTACCTCTGACTGTTATCTTGCTCTGCCTTACGCTGCAGTCTCTGCTGTGCACATGGAAAAGCAGGTCTGGATGAGGTCATGCCTGCCTTGTTCCTTGAGTCATGATTGTTGGTTAGGAATGGTATTGGGAACTTGCTGTCTTGCAAAGGTCCGAGCGTTGGCTGGTGAGGCCTCCAGATGTGTCTCTAGCTTGCTAGCGTCGCAGTAGTGTTTGAGATCAGGGGAGCTGTCGTTGTCCTCATGCACATCCCTCTGGCATTTGCTGGCTGGCAAGTCCAGCACACGCCTGCCAATGAAATGAGAAGCAGGAGAGCAACTTTCTACTGGAGCTGAAGGATTACTTAGGAGAGGCGTTTCTCTGATGAGACTGTTCCTCTTGAAAATCCTGGGTGAGCTCGTGCTGACCCGTCAGGCTGGTGCTTTCCTCCTGTCCCTTGACGTGAGCTGTTTCCGTCTCCTGTGCCGCAAGGTTGGTGCTGGGGCGGGTTGCCTGAGGTCGTCTCGCACGTCCTGTGTGCAAGCCAAGCTGTGGGCTCCCCTCGGCTGGAGATGATTTCTGTTACAGTGGGGAACTGAAAGGCACTGTCACTGTTTATGTTGGATTTCTGCGTTTGGCCTTGATGTTCCCAGCCTCTCCTTCGCTTCCTGCTGTTTGTTTGTGTCCTGCCGCCCTGCTGGCTCTGCTGAGCTGCTGGGGACCTCCCGGCCAGTGGCTGACCTCTCCAGCAGTGCCTTGGAGTCAGGGGCTCTTGCCCAGCATCTCCAAAGTGCTTCTCAGGTACTGCATGAGTGGCTAAAGACATGTTTGTGGTGGGTGGGAGCTTTCCTGGAAGTATACTGAGGGTGGAAGGTTTCAGGAGCAAGGTGGAAGCTGCCTTGCTCTCAGGCAGGTTTCTGCTCTCGTTACCGTGTTTTTCAAGTAAAGGAGCAAGAGCAGGCATTGGCAGAGGTTGCATGAGCCATGCAAAAATGCCTTGGAGTCAGGATCAGCCTGTCTGTGGTATTTTACTTTCCTCTCTGTGGCTACCCCCTCCCTTTCCTGCCCCAGACCTTCCAATTTCCCCTTTGTGGGATTACACCAAAAGAAAGGAGCGCTGGGAACTTTCCTCGTCTGTGATTAAATTCCTCCCTTGTTTCTTTACTCCTCAGCCCTGCTTTAAAGGAGGGTTGAGCACAGTCCTCCCGGGACCTGAGAGTGCTGCACTTGGCAGGGTTGGAGGATGCTTCACCGCAGAGGGATCCCCCTTTCCTTCAGCTCCGATAAAGCTTCCCTGTGTGCCAGCCCCGAGCCTGCAGGACCATGTGGTGGAGTCAGGGAGGTTCCCTTTCCTGGTGGGAATTCCCCTTAAATCTGGGAGACCCGGGGAGCCGTGGTGGAGGTCAGTGCTAACTGGGGTTATACTGGGCTCTGCTCGCATATGGGGCTGACCGTCTTGCCCTGAGCTGATGGGTACCAGCAGGGTGAGATGCTTGGGGGACCTAAGAAGTCATGCGAAGAGTTAACTTCATCAAGACTGATGCCTTCCTGGGGCTGATTGAAAAGAGGCCTCCTGAAATGAGCTCATGTTCAAGGGAAGCAGAACTTCAAAGAGGCCAGGCATGTTTGTTTAATGCTGGTAACTTAATTCAGCTCTAATCTGTCCCTTCTGCCAGTTGCCAGCAGAGGTGGAGGAGTGCAGGGCTTCTCCCAGGCACATCCCCTCTCTGACTCTGGGGCCTCCCACTCTCACCGGTGTCTGCTTAGCTGGGGTGGCTGGGCAGGGTGCTGGTGGTGCTGGTGGAGCTGGGGCCTGGCCAGCCACGCCGAGGGGAGCTTTGAAGCGGGCACATGTGTGTGAAGGGAGGGAAGGGAGGTGGAGCAGGGAGGAGGAGCAGCTCTGCACACCAGTTTGGTAATGATGGCGCAGTCAGGGTGTGCTGTCTGTGCGGTGACCCGCTGCGAGAGCTCTGCCATGGCCAGATGGCTGCAGCTCCTGGCTGTCTCCTGGAGCCCCTCTCTCCATGCAGCACAGCTTGGAGCTGGGGGTTCAAATAACCGTGTGCTGCAGGGCAAACGTAGCCCCGGGGGTGCCTGCACACGCCGGCGGTCCCAGTCCTCACTGCTCCACGCCAGTGGTCCTGATCTCTCTGCTCCACATCAGCCTGCGGGCTGGGGCTGGAGGTCGGCTCTGCTGGGCTTACAGAGCAGGGCAAAACGTGGCAGAGCTCGTCCTGTGCATCCTCAGCTGCTCCACGCCAGCTTGGCAGCAGTCGGGGATGGCAGGTCCCCGTGACCATCCCAAAGGGAGCAGAGTTTCTGTGGGAGTGTGGCAAGCTTCCTCTGGCTTCCCACTCGTGCCAGCGGGGCACTCCCGGGGTTGTCTCTTGGCAGGAATCCCCACTCCACTCCTCACACATGGTGTACAGCATCTTATGTGTCTCTTCATGCCTCTTACACCTGTGCTCTTTTACCCTGTAACACATATCCTGGGTTTTAGGAATACAAGGCGAGCTGGACTAGCTATTAAACTACGTGCTGGATGGCACCTTTGGGCTCTGCTCGAAGGGCAGACTGTTAGTGGTAGATTCTGCAGTTGCCTTGCACAGGAGGTGCTCACGACTTGTGGATTTATAGAATCATAGAATCACAGAATGGTTTGGGTTGGAAGGGACCTCAAAGATCATCTAGTTCCAACCCCCCTGCCATGGGCAGGGACACCTTCCACTACACCAGGTTGCCCAAAGCCCCATCCAGTCTGGCCTTGAACACCTCCAGGGATGGGGCAGCCGCAACTTCTCTGGGCAGCCTGTTCCAGTGCCTCACCACCCTCATTTACTTCAGAGTTGTAGAAATTAACTTTTTTTGACTGTTGAGCTGGTTTGTTTGGGGTTTTTTTTGAGCTGTTTGCACGTCCGTTCTTACTGAGTCAAGCAGTCATCCTGGAGGAATATTGATTGAGAAACACTAATCTGTCAGAGTGCATCGACAGAAAAGAGCTGAATTAGGGTTACATGGGACATCAAACTCAAACTTACTGCAAAGGTTTTGCACTTTGCTGTTGCATGGTGGGGTCAGAGTTTCAGAATTAGGGCAAAACAGAGGAGAATGGTGTTTCCCTGTTTTTAGCACACAAAAGCGAGGCCAAAATACACTGCGTGCACATTACTAATGACGTGGATTTTTTCAACAGAAGACCCTGAAGGTGTGTTGAGTAGGGAAGGAATTACCCACGTCTGCCATGCTTTCCCGTTTGAGTCGTAGTGACTCAGCTGACGTTGCAGTAGATGCAGTGCAGGAGGCAGCTGATGTTTCTCAAGCTGAGAGCTTCAAGGTTGAGATTAAGGTGTGAAGCACACAAGCAGTGTACGAGTCTGTCCACTGTTACGTGGAAGTGTAAACTGGGAGGAAAGCAGAGATTGAAGGAGTAAAATAAGTAGAGCAGCTGTGTGGGTTAGCCCCAGGGAGCAGCCACTGAGCCCCCACCAGCTGCTCAGTCACCCCCAGCAGAATGGGGCAGAGCATTGGGAGGGTCAAGGCACGAGAACTGGTGGGTTCAGACACAGCTTACTGGGTGAAGCAAAAGCTGCACGTGGCGAGGCAGAGCCGGGCGTTCGTTCACCGCTTGCCGTCGCAGGCAGGCGTTCGGCCATCCCCGGGGCAGCAGGGCTGCATCCCGCGTACCGGTGACTTGGGAAGGCAAACACCAGAGCTCCGGTTGTCCCCCCTTCCTTCTCCCGTGCCCCAGCTCTCTCGCCGAGCACGGCGTTGTATGGTATGGAACAGGCCTTTGGGCAGCTGGGGTCAGCTGTGCCCCCTCCCAGCGCCCTGTGCACCCCCAGCCCGCTCGCCGGCGGGGCGGCGCGAGGCACAGGGGAGACCTGGCACTGTGCAGGGCCGGCTCAGCAACAGCTAAATCATGGGGGTGTCAGCAGCACTGTTCTGGTCACAGATCCAAAACACTGCACCTTACGAGCCATTGTTAAAGAAAGTTAACTCTATCCCAGCCAAACCAGTACAGTACTTTTCAAAAACTTTTTTGTATGCATTTTACTTTTTCTAGACTTCCTACTCCTTGGGGAGTGTGTGGGCAACTCAAGTTTTCATGGCTCTTAAACAGGACAGAAACAATCCTGCTCTCAGGTCGCTGCCATAAGTGGAGCAAGGATTTGGAAAACTACTTTGGAGAGTCCCTCTCCATTATAAGCAGTACAGAAAATCAATATTTAGGTTCAACCTAAAGAATGAGGGTTGTTGCTCAGTTACTTTAAATCATGTCTGGGGAGAAAGAGAGGGAGAGATGCACACAAAAATGGAAGTGCTGCTGCTAAGGTTCAAGGCAAAATGGATTGAAGAGGGAAATACGAGACTGTTATAAAAATCAGTGAGAAGAAAGAGATAAGCAGCTGGTTAATGATTGTAGTTTCCAGGGCCGCCTGCCCTCAGCAGGGAGGTGGGATGAGAGAAATCCCCCATCAGCCAGGACATGGTCTTGTAGAGGGGAGATGTGTCCGCTCCTGTTATCCGTGGGAAACTTGGGGTTCCACAACCCAGCACAGACTGGAGGAAAGTTCAGTTCTTTGTAGTCTGGCAAAC